CGCCCCCCCCCCCCCCCCCCCCCCCGGCCGGGGGGGGGGGGGGGGGGGGGGGGGCCCGCCCCCCCCCCCCCCCCCCCCCCCCCCCCCCCCCCCCCCCCCCCCCCGCCGGGGGGGGGGGGGGGGGGGGGGGGGGGGGGGGGAACCTAACCTTTTTTTTTTTTTTTTTTTTTTTTCCCCCCCCCCCCCCCCCCCCCCCCCCCCCCCCCCCCCCCCCCCCCCCCCCCCCCCCCCCCCCCCCCCCCCCCCCCCCCCCCCCCCCCCCCCCCCCCCCCCCCCCCCCCCCCCCCCCCCCCCCCCCCCCCCCCCCCCCCCCCCCCCCCCCCCCCCCCCCCCCCCCCCCCCTCCTTGGGGGCCCCCCCCCCCCCCCCCACCCCCTTTTGCCAAGTGCTTTGCCGCAGCGCATAGCGCGCAGCTCACCTTCTTGACCTACTTACTACGAATATATTTACAAAATGTACAAATGAGATATGTACAATTAAACTATTTACAATAAGAATACAAACTTACGGAGCACGCACGAAGTCGCGCCTGCGCCTGCCTGTTCTTCTTCTTCTCATCTGAGGGGCCCCAGGTTCTATTTCCCGAGCCCGCTCTGCCTCTTCTTTTGAACCTAAAACAAACTGACAGAATACCTGGATAGCCTGCCATTTCGCTTCATCAGAGAGCATGCTCCTGACGAATAGGGACAAATTGAGGGCGCCACTTCCGTGATTGTCAAGTCCGGTAAGCCGCAGCATGGTATCTCTATGGTCATTCCATGCCGGGCAGTCGAATAGGGTGTGCTGTGGTGTGTCGTTGGCACATCCGCAGTGATGGCAGGTGGGGGTGGGCTCTCTGCGGGCAATCTTGTGAAGATAGGAGCCGAAGCATCCGTGCCCGGTGAGCCCTTGCGTCAGATGGTAGGACAAAGTCCCCCACCGCCTTTCAGTCCATTCCTTGAACACTGGCATGATAGCATCCAGTGTCCGTCTCCCGTAGCGCGCGCTGGCGAGTTCTTCACGCCACTTTGTTAGTACGGTCTCACGACCTCCTCTTCTCCACGCCTCCATTTCCTCATGGGTCGGCTCGTTTCCCGATCTTCTGGAACGAGCCCGCTTCCAATAAATGTCCGCCAGAGCGCCCGCCTCTATATGCCATGGTGGAGTGTTTGCTAGTATGCACACCACATCAAATGACACTGTTCTATACGCTCGCGCAGCACCAATAGCAACAATGCGCTGTGACCGCCTAAGGACGGCCTTGTTAAAGTTGCAAAGATCCCCGGCCCATATGGGTGAGCCATACATAGCTTGAGATCTGACGACACCCGAAAACAATTTACGACATCCGTGATTAGGCCCGCCGACATTGGCCATTAATCTACTGAGTGCCATTGCAGTGGCCGACAGCTTTGCCGAAAGAGCCGAAAAATGGGCCTTAAAGCTCCACCGAGAATCCAAGACTAGGCCTAAGTATTTGAGCGTCTTTCCTACTCCTATTGACACTCCACCAACGACAAGTTGTGAGCCAGTTGGTGGTGCTTTTCGTGAGCCATGAAATAAAATGGCCTCAGACTTCTCTAGAGCCACTTCAAGGCCCAACCTCCTTATCCTAGCTACTACTTGAGCCACTCCAGCAGTAGCCTTCACTGATGCATCTCTGTAATCTCGTCCTCTAGTCACCACCAGTGTATCATCAGCGTAGCAAATCAAGCTGACGCCATGCAACAGCGCACCTCTCAAGACAACATCATAACCCAGATTCCACAGCAGTGGCCCTAGGACTGACCCTTGGGGTACACCTCTTTCCACTTTATGTTCTCCCCATCCCTCTCTTACAGGGTAGATGATACTCCGGTTATGAAGGTAGGAGGCAATCGTCCTTGATAGATATAGGGGCATCTGATGGTATTCAAGCCCTTTCATGATAGCGCTCCAGGGCAGAGTGTTAAAAGCGTTTTTTATGTCTAATGACACCGCCAGTACCACCCCGCCCTGTGACGTTGTCTCCTCCGAAATGTCCCTGAGACGAGCAATTGCGTCGACTGTTGACCGTCTCTGTCGGAAGCCAAACTGGTTATCCGACAGATCCGGACCGACTGTTCTTAAATGTCGGATCACCCTGTTTGCGACGATTCGTTCGAATATCTTGCCAGTCTCGTTCAGAAGCACAATTGGTCTGTATGCAGAAGGGGACTCCGCCGGCTTTCCCGGTTTTCGCAGCAGTACCAATTTTCCCGTTTTCCAGGCTTCAGGAAAGCACGAATTCCGCAGACAAGATGTAAGCAGCCTGCGGAAGCGATCATCCAAGCCAAATTGCAGCGCAAGGGCTAAGGCCTTTCCGTGAATGCCATCAGGCCCAGGAGCAGTCCTTTTCCTCTGCATTTTTTCAACAGCGATTTCTACTTCCGCCATAGTCACTTCCGAGATGTCCAATTCCGAATGTTGTTGCCGGTTCCAAAATTGTTCTTCGCCAGGGGCGCGGGGTGGAAATAGGGCCGCCACAACAGTCCTTAGCAGTGACGGTTCCATCCCGGTGGTAATGGGAGGTGCCCAGGGACGCAACTTGTTCATGACAAGTTTGTAAGGACGTCCCCAGGGATCTTGTTCGAGCGAATCGAGTAGCTCCTCCCACGCCCTTTGCTTAGATTCCGCTATTTCACGACGCAAAGCATTCTTGGCCTGTTGGTAAGCTGCATAGATAGTAGCCTCCTCGGCTAGATCACCGTTGCCTCGATGTCTTCTTCTATAGCGAGTGTAATACCGACGCTTTTCTGCACAGGCACTTCTTAAACGACTAAGTTCCGCCGACCACCAATACACCTGGTCTTTAATTGGTGGTGCTCTAACTCTCGGCATTGCGGCATCCGATATGTGAACCAGTTCCCGTCCGAACCATTCCGCTCCCTCTTCCGGAAGTTCCTCCTGTGGAATGGGATTCCAACTAGCAACCACAGCAGCCATCTCCAGGTCGTCTCTATCTAGAGCTTTGATAGCCCACTTTGGACCAATTTCTCCTGGTGACGAACGTCTTCTGATGGGGTTTGACAGGGGAGTGAAGCTGAATCGGATGTACCGATGATCAGCCAGGGTCTCTTCTCCCGCCAACACCCTCCAGTCTTGAATGCGCCGAGCAATAGAGAGGCTCGCGAAAGACAAATCTACTATCGAGCCACCCTGCATCCTCACACATGTCTGCACCGTTCCGCTATTCAGTAGTACCAGGTCATGTTCAACTGCCCACTCCACGACAATTTCTCCTCGCGCATCAGTAGACGGAGAACCCCAAGCTGTTGACTTTGCGTTGAAGTCCCCCGCGACAATGATATTGCACGGTCTGCTACTCCGAATGAGGGCACTCACTTCCGCCAAGTGTACCTCGAACTCTGCCACTGAACGATTTGGCGAAAAGTAGGACGCCACGACCACGATATTACCCACTTTAAGGGCGACACATCCGTCTTTCTTCTTCGAGGGACCGATTGGGGGCAGGTCGTTGGTGTTTCTCACGACGATAGCTACTGTGCCATCATTGCTGCCAACCCAATCTTCCCTGTCTAGAACGCTGTACGGTTCGCAGACGACTCCTATGTTGATAGACCACTGCGCCAGACTCTGAACTAAAAGATCTTGGGCTCTGACGCAGTGATTTATGTTCGCCTGTAATATCTTGAGGGCCGAACTAATTGTTGACGACCTCGCTTGTCTCCATGGCCTCCCCGCTCGGTTGGGTGTCATCCCTGATGTTCGGGACTCTTCTCCTCATCTTTTTAGCGGGGGCCGAGCATTTAGCACTACCCACTTGATGATTAGCGTCTTTGTTCGCTGACGCACAGACGAGGCAGTGCGGTTTGGCCGAACAAGAGGCCGCGACATGTCCAGACTGGCCGCAACGATAGCACGTCCCCCTACGATCACTCTCGGCGTCGCACCGACTTGCTACGTGGCCTTCTTGCAAACACTTGAAGCAGCGAAGCACTCGAGCTTTAGCTATCGCCACTTTCGCCACCACCCAACCAACCAAGAACCTTCCCACCATTAGCTTCTTAGCCGCCGTTATCGGTACATGGGCCCAGATTGTGCAGAGCCCTGACCTATCCTCGCGTAGCTGTCCTGCTTTTACTAGGGCTGCAGGGCACTCTCCTTTCTTAGCAATGGCCTCGATCACCTCTTCTGGTGTTACTGAGTCGTCGAGGCCTGTGATTTTTATGTCCACGGTCTTTATCGGCCGGGACACTTTGATGCCATCTTCCTTAAAGACTTCCTTCAACTTTTCTGCTAGAGCATCGGCCTTCGGCCCACTATTTGCCCCAGGTAGTTGAAGGATCGTCGCTCCCGTTACAGCTTTGCGAAAACGAATCGCCTCAAAGCCTGTAATTTCTTTCAAATCTAACTTTGTCTTCGCTGTTCTTATAACGTCGCTGTAAGTAAGCCCCTTTTTGGAGGCCTCTTCAGTGACTGTCACCACTACCGCTGAGGTTCTTGGCGTCTTCAGTTTTGGTATAGCCCGTGCCGAAATAGGTGTTTGTGCCTTTCCTGGCTGCGACTGTTTGTTGGCCCGTTTTGCCGGTGAACTTTTCGGCGGGGCACTACGAGATTCCGTCTCTCGGAGCGGGCGTCCCTTCCTTACTACCGTGACCCAGTTCTCTTCTAGCGAATCTGGGTTGGGCGGACGAGATGGGGCCCGACTTTGAGACTTGGCAACGGGGGCGGACGAGTGCGCGGGAGCGGTGGGTGCCGATTCTCCCGTGTTCTCAACTCTCTCCGACGCCTTTCCCTTCTTCTTCTTCGACTTACTCTTTTTCTTCTCAGTTTCAGGACCGGGAACTGTTTCCGGAGCCGAAACCGCCGTAGGAATAGGTAAGTCTTTCCCTATTTTTTCCCCTTCTTTCTTCTTATCTGCCGATAAGGGGGGCCTAATTCTTGGCGCTGGATTAAGCCGGGGTTCAAGCCCTTCGATACGAGCATTGATTTTTTCTCCCAGCTTACGAAGTAGACCAGCCTCAAACTCCTCTAAGCTGCCTGGCAGCTGTGGGGCCTTCTGTATCCCCTCCACCTTTTTGCTAAGCTCCTCCAACTCCTTGCGAAGGCGCTCATTTTCGGCTCTAAGAGCTTTAGTCTCATCCGAGATTGTGCGTCTCATAAGCACTCCAGTATTTTCTCTTACCGTGGCCACGGCCTCCTTCAGGGCTCGGACAAATGTTCCCTTGAGACTCGAGGAACGTTTTGCCACGTCTTCTATGATGCCCAGGCTGGCATCAATAGTCTTCTGCATCTCAAGTGCAGAGCATGGGCCGGAATCTTGTGTTTCCATTATGTCCCCGCTGTCCCATTCCAAGGAGGCAGGTGTTGTGCTCCTCGTCACTCTTGCCTCTGCAATTGATGCCATAAGCTCGGCCTCCGCCCTAGCTTGCATCTCCTCTCTTTGTGCCTTGGCCAGTTCTTTTTTGGCTGCAGCCAAGCCGATATAGTCGCCCGTTGTTGGTGGGCGACCTCTCCCTTTTCTTTGGACTGAGGTCGGGGTGTCCGTAGAACTACCCTCCTCGTCCATCTCCTTCTTTCGCTTGCGGCTTCGTTCACGCCAAAAACGACCAGGCCCCGAAACGGGCGAGGACGCCTTCGAACGAGCCTGACTACTCGATGCAGCGGATGATACGCTGCACATAGAGTCCGAGTCCGAATCAGACAGCCTCGAAGCCATCGACTGGACCCGTGAGCCGCGAACTTCTCCTTCTGTCACGGGCAGTGGCGTTACAGTC